CTGCCGGTCATATGACCGGTCATCTAAATGGGAGATCTGCAGTCTTTTGGCATCATATTTTACATCAGAATTGAAGGGATTTCTGAAAAATCTGACCAGTTCTTTTGTGTAACTATGATTTTGCATCCCTTGTCAACATATGGCCTCGGTTGATGTTAACTTAAGGTCGTTGTTTTACTGCCTTAAAACTGAAGGGAAATTTTGACAGCGTTTTTTATGTGTATTGGTTTCTATTTGAGTGTATTGAGAATCGGTCAGTCTGAAAAGGCCTTGTAGGGAAGACAATAGGTTTGTTCGTCGAAAATCCAGCGAGAATTATCACTCAAAATATCAGATGGTAAGAAAAAATGCTCCCAAATTCTCTCTCATGTAGAGAAACTTGCAATTTTCTGTACGAACGCAAATTTGCAAGTTTTTCTGCCAGCTAGTGTCCACGGTTGCATTTCAAACAAAAGAAATTTGTATAGAATTTTTAAAATTCTTTCAGAGGGGTAAAAAACAGAATCTACGTGTATATATCTTGTCAGTCCGACTTCTTCAACATACGTTTCAATTTCTTTGGCGGGTTTACTATATCGACTCTGGTTTAGATTGCATTCCGATTGAGAATACAGTTTTTTTGGCCAGTACCTTTCAAATCATTGGAATTAACTAAATTAATTAAGTAAAAAAGTATTAACTTACATTTTTCATTTTAAAATCGCTCCAGATTGTAAATTTTTAAATTTAACGAACTTGTTTATTCAAATTATCGTCGGCAAAAAATCCAACAATTTGTCACAATCATATGTTTTTCCTAATTGCAAATGCTTGCTGGCAAAATTTTTTCCGGCTGGAATTTGTAACTTCTCTCCAAGAAATAGTCTTTTTACTCGTGATTTATTTAAATAAAACATGTGAAATTTAGTTGAAACATTTTAGCCGNTCCGGCAGGAATTTGTAACTTCTCTCCAAGAAATAGTCTTTTTACTCGTGATTTGTTTNTTGTCACAATCATATGTTTGTCCTAATTGCAAATTCTTGCTGGCAAAATTTTTTCCGGCAGGAATTTGTAACTTCTCTCCAAGAAATAGTCTTTTTACTCGTGATTTGTTTAAATAAAACATGTGAAATTTAGTTGAAAAATTTTAGCCGTTTTTAGCCGGTTTTATTTGCCAATTTAGCCGGTTCGTCCAAAAAGTTCTGGCAACACTGTGTGCGATGTGTGGGTGCAAGCCACGGTTGAGAGAAATAGAGATTGCGCCAGTCGCGGTAACGCTAATCCGCTCTTTGTGATTTTCACAGAATCAGCTGTGTGCGTGACGTCATCTTGGTGCAATTGTTGATTGTGATCATACGAAAAAACCAAATAACACTTTTAATATTTATGCGTTAATATTTCTGCGTGGTTTTACACAATTGTCGAGACATTACAAAGCAAAATGAAGTGTGCCGCGACAAAGTGTAATAGTGAAAACAAAAGGAAAGCGTGCGATATGTTTTTTTTTCGTTTCCTACGGACGCAAATCTGGCGAAAAAGTGGAAGCAGTTCTGCCGGCGAGGAGATGCATTAAACACCAAATCGAGCTATGTAAATAGATACATGAACTTCACTACCTACTTATTTTTGATAGTACCTGATCCTTTTTAGTGCTAGTATGAGCTAATGCACCAGTGGATAAGGTCGACAGGCGCTAATTCAAGCGGCATCTTACCGCGCTGTTACGTACCTAATACAAAACAGTGCCCAAATTATTATACATTTAAAAGTTTAGCATAAATTATGTTTAATTTAGATAGAATATTTGTTTCCAAAGAAGCCAGACTCATGCATCCTCTCGGAGATGGTACAAAAGTAGTCAAATCAAAGCAGTGGAGTTTGTGGTGGTGGGCTACCGTCCACAAATATAAATATGCACTCTGCATGGCTTTTTACAATGTATGCTTTAGGTCGAGTCCAAAAACTCACTTTACTGCACACCTTCCTTTTGGCCTACATGAAATTGCAAACACTGTTAATACATCAATTTTTTCATGTGCTAAAAATCGTACGTAGGGCTACATGTCCAAAATTATTGCTACGTGTTCCTAATTAATCAATCTTTGTATATTTATTAATTCCTGCGAAATTGGGCCGTATAATATTAAAATTAACACATTGTTCTGCATTGTTTACATATTTTTATATGCGCTTTGGCATTTCTCTCTCGCAATTGCACCAAGATGACGTCACGCAAAAATTGCGCTCAAAAATCCTCTCTCATTGACGCAATCTTGTATTCTATCATTCTTGGGTGCAAGCCAGAGCAGACCACTTTACTTGGGTCCCATTTCGTCTCCACATAACACTACAACTGTCTGGAATGCTAGAAAGGCACGTCTACTTACTCGGCGTCTGGCAATACCAATACATTTGTATCTACAGCCTTGAAGCCTCCGCCTCTGAATCCGCAATTCGTCTTCGTCCGAACGTTCACTTGCAAGAAATGCTATTGCTTGATACACTTTTAAATAATTCTATTAAATTAAAAAAAAAACTTTTTCTTATACAAAAAAAAAAATTTCAAAATCAAAAGTTATCAAAACAAGTTCTATGGGACTGAGAAATATTATTTTCTAATTTTAGTCCATTTATGTAAGCGTGGTACATAAAAAATTTTTTTTAAAATTTATTTTATACTTTTTAGTCTTGTCTGTATAAAATTTTGCAATGATATTAAAGGAGTTCAACTTGCAGTGAAAAGAGACCAGAAGACTATGCAGGCAAAATGTTGTTTGCTCACATTTAGTATATGCCTACATATGTAGATACATACATATAGCAGCAAATAATTTCATTTAAAGAAATGGCGTGTCGTCCATTTCCGCTGTAGCGTATGTAGTGCCATGATTCAATAATACAAGGTTGGATAACTTGGCAGTTGTCTCGCTCCCGTATTCTGCATTAGTCTGTGTTGCTTTCTTTTTTGATTTATAGAAACTACTACTAAAATACAAGGAGAAATATTGTGTTCATATAAAAAGTTCAACAGGCAATACTGCCGATGTTTTCATCGGTTGTTTTGTGGAAATTAAATTTTCTATTGCGCAAATTCAGGTAAGTATGATAAAAAAAATCTAAAATGGTGGAAATATTTTGAATTAAAACCATAATTTACATATTTATTTCTTTGCTGAGTCTTAGAGTTATTCAAAATTCGTATTAAAGAACTAGAGTTTTACAGCAAGTAAAGTTTTGCATATTTACAAGTAAGTATACCACACCGTAAAAGTGAAAGGGCAAATATAAATAAAGATATTTTCTTGTGCAGGTTTGGATCGTCTGTGTGTCCGTCCACATCCGCTGGTGCAGCGATTTTTAATATTGCAGCCTTTTGCCTATTTACAAGTATGTATACCACCCCATAAAAGTGAAAGTGCAAATATTAATAAAGATATTTTCTTGTGCAGGTCCGGATAGTCTGTGTGTCCGTCCATATTCGCTGGTGCAGCGATTTTTACATACTTCCAGGATTCTAATCTGATCGCAGGTACAACTTTTTCCTTACCGCAAGCTCAACATCATCGTAGCGCAGCCCACTTTTAGCGCAAGGCCTATATGTGTAATATCCCACACCGTGTTCATAAGAGTCACAACTCAAATAATACGTTTGTAACGAAATGCGAATAACTATTTCTTAGCACATGGTAATCATATGTTCAAGGGCGTGTTTACCTTAGGTTTTTTTTAACAAATTATAAAAAAAAAATTTCTGCAGCTTTTGCTGAAAGGTAAATAAAAGCTCTGTGCATAATTTCAAAAATTACAAATTTTGAGTTGTGACTCTTTTGAAGACGGTGTGTGATATACTGGTGTTTTGTATGTATCTTTAAAATAAGTGGAAAAATAAATAAATAAAGAGGATACTGTCCGCATCCGTTGGCTTTTAAGCAGATGCGCAAGCGATGTGTAATAGAAAACATTACCAAAAATTTACATTTTTAAAGCAAATGTAATTGAAGTTAAGCTGTTAATGGTATAATTTTTAAATGTAACTAATATAATTATTAACAAGACTGATTTGCAGAAAATAGTAGAAAGCATTACTAGAAAATTGAAATTTGTAAAAAACCAAATATAATTCAATTAAATATATTTAACATGTAATTTTTAAATGCAACAAAAATAATTTTAATAGATTAATTTATATGCATTATTTCAATTACATCATTACTTTTTGTATATTTCTTCATATAGTCCCTTTGAATAAAGGATTTGTTTGAATTCCATTAATTTTGTTTAATATATACTGGAATTTCAATGCAACCATGGTTTATTTTGAATATTTGGGAATATTTGTCGATACGATTTTTCCTTGGTCAGAATTTTATGTGAATATTCATTTATTTCATTTTAACATCTATATGGCATGTTTATTATACCATAAAAAAGTTAATTCATTGTCTATTTTGTAGGTCAGTGGAATCCGCTTCATATATTTAATCAAATTGAAAAAACCCCATTTCAGCACTACCAAACTACTTTTTCTACTACCTTTTCACAAAAGGGGATGAAATGGTTACCCGCTTTCTCTTTCCTTCTCAAATGCAACCTTTCAAGGCAGTCGATTGACACAAATGTCAGTAGCTTTGTTTCTTAACAGATAATTATCACAAATTATCACTAACTTCTGCTGGAAAGCGTTTCTTAACCCAAAAAACCAGCAGAAACTAGCAGCTCGCTCTCGTTCTTACGCTCTTCTTTTTTTGGCTCTCCTGCTAATTTCTGCTAGTAAAATTTTTACTAGCAGAAACTAGCGGCTGTCAAAATGGATAAACCAAAATTCGCGCCAAATATTTCCAATAGTCAAATACACCGATCAGTTGCGTTTCTTTATTTTTTCGTTATTTCACTCTCTGTGAGCGTGATTCTTTAAATTTTCTTATTCTTATTCTTCCTGATAATTATCTGCTGGAAAAGAAAAAAAACAAAGCCAATATTTACCAACCTTGTATTATTGAATCATGATGTAGTGCATATTTTTAACTTCTTCTGGCGAGGCGACATCTATCTTTAGAGCTTTTCTAATTGTATGTCTTTGATATGATACCTACGACGAGGTTGATATCTAGACTAGCAGCCCTATTCCGCCACACTGACAAAACTCACCGCGATGAAAATTGATATAAAAATGACAATTGCAGCTTTTTGGTATTCGCAGCAAAATTCAAAAGCTCGAATCATGCCAATTGTCATTTTTATTGTCATGACCTTTTGGGCAGGTGACAAGGCAAAAACATATGTTTGTGTTGGTTTAAAAAGTGCGACGATTTAATAAATTTGTGAAAAAAATATAAAAATTAACTAATTTCAATGGCAGAACAAATTTGAGTTATTTGCGCAGCCGTGCTTGTGGAAGACGAGCAGCTCCGGATGCTCCCTACAAAACTGCACATAAAATTGCAGCTGCTCCTGCGTCGTCCGCTCATATTTTGCACGTCTAAAATGTTTATAAATGCTAAAAATATACTAATTTATCTATTTCACACAAATACTCACTATTCTGGTGTTTCACCGCTCATATTTTTGCAAATAATAGCGTTGACCAGCTGTTTCTACAACAATGAACTTTTCACCATGCATGGTAAGTTGACAAAAGCTTTTTGCTTTTCATTTTTTGTTAGGAATAGCAACGTGCAACGACAATGACAAAATCACGACAATGAAGGATGATCAATTGTCATTCTATTGCAAGACCGGAATAGGGCTGTAGGTTTGCCATAAATACCTTTGCTATATTTATATTATGATGGTCTGGACATCCAACATTGCAAGTTGATAAAAGCGTTGTAAAATAATGTATTTTTGAACTTTTATAAACACAAAAGCCGACATCGATTAGCCACTTCTCGCTCGCTATGTTTGAGTTCCGGTCGCTTAAAGAAGAATTTCGCATGTGAAAGCAACAACAAAGTTAGCTAGCACGGATAGACGATAGCGAGTTTGGTTGTACCTCATTGAGTTCGTTCGTAAAAGTAAATGAAAATGGGAGCCCGGCTGTATAAAGAATTTATGGGACTGAAAACGAAAAACGTGGAGCGCATGCAATACAAAGCATTAGATTTAATTGACAATATTCAAACTACATACATAACATAGACCTAAAATTTCTACAGCGAAAGTACAAATTTGAGATCGATTTTAAGCGGTCGTTATTAATATACCCACATACATACATATATTACTCTTCAATTTCAAATCAGGCCTATTACATGCGCCCCACACTATTCATTTTCAATCTCATAAATTGTTTATAATGACTTTTGCTAAAATTTGAAAATCAAAAGTTATCAAAACAAGTTCTATGGGACTGAGAAATATTATTTTCTAATTTTAGTCCATTTATAAAAGCGTGGTACATAAAAGTTTTTTTTTAATTTATTTTATACTTTTTAGTCTTGTCTGTATAAAATTTTGCAATAGATATTAAAATAATTCAACTTGCAGTGAAAAGAGAACAGAAGACTATGCAGGCAAAATGTTGTTTGCTCACATTTAGTATATGCCTACATATGTACATACATACATATAGCGTATGTAGTGCCATGATTCAATAATACAAGGTTGGATAACCTGGAAGTTGTCTTGCTCCCGCATTCTGCCTTAGCCTGTGTTGCTTCTTTTTTGATTTATAGAAACTACTACTAAAATCATGGCATATTTTTAACTACTTCTGGCGAGGCGACATCTATCTCTAGAGCTTTTCTAATTGTATGTCTTTGATATGATACTTACGACGAGGTTGATATCTAGACTAGGTTTGCCATAAATACCCTTGCTATATTTATAGTATGGTGGTCTGGACATACA